GGTTAGTTCATTGTTTTTTTTTATTAACCTGGATATCCAACCTGCTATGCGAGCCGACTAATTCCAGGGCGACCACTTGCTTTGCAAATAGCCCGGAGTCACCGCATTTGAATCTCCGTGGTCACAAGAGGATTTTTATTCCTCCTTGCATTTGAACCTGGGACCTCCTGGTACTTTTGACCTTTGGAGCCAAGTTGAAACCAATCAGGCACCACGCTTGTGGTTTAGTTCATTGTTTTTCATATGTGAGGTCTTGTGTTCAAGTATTTTGTTGTAATTCTTTTAAAAAAAATAAAGAAATCTGAAGTTAAAAGCTAAAACTAAGAAAATGACGTTAACATGATTCAAACTCGGGGCTGAGGTGAAAGAAAAACTTTGCAAACCAACTCTACCAAAAAAATCTTGTGTTCTTATTTTAGTTTCAAATATATATATGTACAACAAATCGATATAGTTGTACCTTTCGCAAACCTAATTTCTTTAACACCATGACAGAGGAATGAAACAGTGACACGTGCCACCATAACCACAAAGCTAGGTCCATCCCTAGAGTGAAGTACATGAAGGTATACAACACGATAATAATTGGTCATCAAAATGTAGTCTAAAACCATTACATAATACATACGTATAGTGTAATACTTTAAAGTTTCGTAGGTTATCAGTCAAAAAATTGTTGATTTTGTGGTTCAAATCCGTCGTCTTTTAATATGCAGTCAAGGAAATGAATATAATCTCTCTCTCTCACAAAACACACACACACGCTCTTCTGTGACATGAACCGCTACCTCATGATTTCGTTGTATATACACACACACACATATATATATATATATATATATATATATATTTTTTTTTTTTCATTTGTTGATAACCATGAGAAATAATGAAAGTTATAAATGTTACATCATATTTGGTTCGGGTGGTGACCTTCACATGAAGCTGAAAGGTTACTATAAGGGTGAGAGGATGACCTTCACACAGGGTCGGTTCTAAGATTTTTGATGCCCTGTGCGAAAATAATAATCAATGCCCTTAAGTCTATTTTTTTAAAGTCAATGAAACAACGAAACCTGCGAATTTTTAAAGAGTTTAGAACCTATTCAAAATAAGTATCTCATTCTCATGTTATTTTTATTAATTATAATAAAAAAATACAGGGGGGACACAAAAACCAAAACCCTGAATACAAAATAGAAAATGATAAATTCTGGATTAAGATCATGCTTCCTTCTTTTCTAGTTTTCCCTTTTCCAAATTGAAATTAGTAAAATAGAAACTTTATTTCAATATATGAGACTTAAAAGACAAGGAAAACTATAATTAGTTTTTAACTAAAATAGTAAATCATGTCCAAATTACTGTCATAGTAAGCAAAAAGTAAAACTCAAAAGTTACAGGTTTAACGACTAAAGGCTAAGGGTTTATCTGTTAGCAGCTTAATAAGTTTAATGAAACTAACAACTTATTCGCTCAACTATGCATGACTGTTTCGTAGTGGCTTAATGATATAGAAAGTGACTAATCTAGTAAGCTTTTAGGGGAGCTTTATATAGAAAACCAAGTTTTTTTTTCAAACATGTCCCTTCCAACTAAAAAAACACTCATTACATCTGTGAAAAAACTCTCTCAAACAAAAACTTTTCCAACTTATACAAACAAATTAATTCATACAGACAACTTTATACAAATAAAAACTTTTCCAACTTTTTCCTACGATGTGCATTCAATATTCATCACTACTAGACTTTGGGTCTGTTTTTATTGTTACAACTCAGTTGTCCAATTCCCAAATTATTAAACTCAAAATTAGTAATAAATGACAACTTGATGCCCCTTTAGGCATTGATGCCCTGTGCGGCCGCACGGGCTGCACGTGGCCAGGGCCGGCCCTGCCTTCACATGTATTCAGACAGCTTAAAGTTATATTCATAAACGTCAAGTTTACGTTCTATTATTTTAAAAGTTAGGTTTCTCGTTTTTCAATCATTGGTAATTTATTTAATTTATTGCATGACAAATGCACCGGGCCCCTTGAACAATCAAATTTGACCCGTTCCGATGATTTAACAACGATATTTGATTTATAAGACATGTGATTTTATTAAGATAAAAATTAAAGAAGTAGGAGTGAGTCATCATGCAAATGAATTATAGAGTATAATTAATTATACTCTCTTAACGTTTGGACTTTTTAACAAATATCATCTCTAACACTACAACAAAATCGGGTTTATAGGGTACTCTCAAATTCTAAGTGTCATAATAAACTTCTTTATATGACTTAGCTTATAGGACCAAAAAAATAAAGTGTCATATCTAAAGGTGTTGTAACAAGTTTATTTGACGTTTTTTGACGTCGTAATAAGTTTTTGTGAACACTTTTAATATAAAGTGTCCCATTATCAACTTTATAGAACACTGTTTGAAAAATTGTCTTACAAAAACAAGTGTCTTATAAAAAAATGAGTCTATAGAACACTTTCTCAAAAGTGTCCTATAAACTTGTGAAGACGCCGAAAAGCGTCATATAAGCTTATTACAACACCTTTAGATAGGATACTTTATATTTTGTCCTATAAATTAAGTCTTATAAAGATGTCTATTGAGACACTTAGAGATTGAGGGTGTCCTATAAATTCAATTTTGTTGTAGTGTAAACTTTAAAATCTCGGATTTGGTCTCTTACATTCATCAATTCTGAACTGTTTTGGTCACTCTATCTAATGATTGTTACTTTTTTTTGTTAAGTTCAGTTAAATGAGAAATATTTTAGTTATTTTCATCATTTTCTTATTTTTATACTAAAATTAAAAAACATACTATATTTTTAACTAATAACCTTGGCATTTTATTTTATTTACAAATTAGAATTAAAAATACAATATGTTTTTTATTTTAAAAATAATAAAAATAATAAAAAATATTAAAATATCTCTCTCATTTAATTGTATTTAATAGAGAAAGTTAACGACGATTAAATAGAGTAACCAAAACACTTGGAAATTAAAAAACTTAAATCACCAATTCCTATTTTTTAAAATTTAGGATCAATATATATCCAATAAAAATTATAAATGTCAAGGACTAAAATTAAATTTGCTCTAAATTAATAACATGGTTGTAGATGATAAATGCATACGTGCCGAATCGAAGTGTTATTAATTATACTCAATTAATAAAAATTTAAATGATGTTCATAACAACACAAAGTGACCAACCTTCAATCGTAATCAACCAAGCTGTTTAACTAATAATGGTCTGATCGAGACTCAATTAGATATATTTAATTAAAACAGTACAATAAAATCAGTCTTACAGTATGTCAAATATGTTTTAATGTATGAATAAAATGTTTTATAAGACGAGATAAATATAAGTCATATGTAAAATATTCCAATAAGTTGATAAGACGCATATGAACGTTATAACAAGTTTTTTCATGACATTTTTAAAATAATGAATGCTATAAATTTTTTTATATAACAATATTCTGAAAAGCGTTTTATTAAAACAAGTATTCTATACAAACGACGTGTTTATAGAAAAATACCTCTAAAATGTTTTATAAAAAAATTAATAGAACATTATTTCAAAAGTGTCCTAAAAAACTAGTTAGAACGCCAAAAACAATTTTACATATAACACATAATTCAGTCTTAGGGATTGTTCGATTCATTTTTTTTATTAAAATATGTATGTATAAAGTTGTCTGTATCGATATAGTTGCATGTATAATATAACATAAATTGTTGTTCGGTTGTTTTGCTGAACATACACTCTGAATGGTTGAAATGATCATTTTACCCCTGAACAAATAACATTGGTATTTTTGACAACAAAGAACAAAGAAGATTTCTTGATATATCGTTACCTATTAATTTGATAACTTCAATTACCTAATTCTGGCAATTATACAAATAGTGTATTCCCCTAATTCTAGCAATTAACCTCAATTATAATATTCCAGTTTGAAGATTTCTTGAGTCCACAATATACAATCAAAAAGCTTCTACACAAAATTAAATTTTTTTAGGGTTTGTCATCTCTAATTCTGACGGCAAACAAAAAGAAGTGGATTGATGGAGAATAGAGAGTGCAAATCTATGGAGATAGAGGGACCAGAGGAGCAAACAAGATGAAGGAGAGAATTGAGATCGAGAGTATGGATGGATGGAAATGAGAGAAGTTGGGCATTTGGGGTTCTAGAAATGTGAAAGGGCAAACTTGGAATAAAGGGATGAATAAGTGGTTGAGTCCATAGGACTCTATTTTTCTAGCTGACCGATTAAGCCATTAGTTGACTGAATAAGCCAGAAACGAACAACAACGTATGGCTGACCGAATAAGCTATACAAGCTTAACAAACCCATTAAGCCATTACCGAACAGCCCCTTACAAAACATATATAAAATCAATACACTTAAGTTCTATTCTAGTATTCAGAAACATCTGATATCTTGTAAACATATCCCATTAGCTTATAAACTATTAGAATCTTTTAGTTTAGAGATTTATTCAAATAATATTGTCTAATTTGTCATTTTTAGCATAATTTTAGTATTAAGTTGGAAAAACAAACAAATTTAAAAAAAAAAACTTTATTATTTGAATATTCAAATTAAATGTTTATAATGGTCCAAAAACTTGAAAATTTAAAGTAAATATTTTTACATGTACATAATTTATTTGTTATATGCTTAAAGACAAAGTAGATTAACCACAATGGTGATATCTGATTGGTTTGAGTTTGACTTCAAAGGTCAAAAGTATCAAGAGGTTCCAGGTTCAAATTCAATGAGGAATAAAAATCACCTTGTGGCTACGAATGTTCAAATGTGATGACTCCGGGCAATCTGCAAAGCAGATGGTTGCCTTGGAAGTAGTCGGCTCGCATAGGAGGTTGGATATCCATATTAATAATAAAAAAAAAAGACAAAGTAGATTTATAACAAAACGATAATTAAAAACTACAACTGAATAAGGTTACAATTGGAATTTGTCAAATTTCATTTAAAAATAATACACAATACAAACAAAAGAAAGTAATTAATACAACAATGGATGCATTTTTATCCTTTTATACCTTTTGTTTCTTGTATTAAAAAACTGAATTACAAGTGTAAAATGACCTTTGTATCCTTGTAAATTATACTCACTCTGGCAGCAGCTTGAAGGTATCGATATCTGCATCTTGGATCCATCCATATTTCTCCAAGAACGGGTTGGCTAGGGTTTGTGGTGGGTAGCATTCAATATTACACTCTTTCCACACGTTTTCTTCTCCTTCCAGATCTCCCATCACTTCCCATAAGCAACTATTGCACTTGAAACCTGCTCCAAAGCTTATCATGAACAATTTCTCACCTTTTTTTAGCCTTTTCTTGGCCTCCATGTACCCTAAAACATACCAAACGCTACTCGCTGACGTGTTTCCGAACCGGTGAAGGGTCATCCGGGCTGGTTCGACGTCACATTCACTCAGGCCGAGGCTTTGAGCCACGGTGTCGATCACAGCTTTGCCTCCGGTGTGGAGGCAGAAGTGATCCACGCCGGTTTTGAAGTTGATTATAGGTCGGGTTGACCTGGTTGACTTTCTTTGATCGTTGTTGAGCATTTTTAAGGTAATGGAGAGGATACTGAACCGGAGGAGCTCCCGGATTGGTAAGATCTTCGGAGCGATTTCTTTTAAGTTGTCTATGAAGGCTCGGGCTGCGGCTTTGGGTAAAGATTTTCCAAGATGAAACCCGACCCGACCCTGATCATCTTCGGTCTCTATGCAACATCCGTAGGATTCGTCTTTGGATCCATGGTGGGTTCGGACTAAGCAATTCAACTTCAACTTGCATTTCTGGGATAAACTTGGGTTGTTTGTTAGAATCATGGCACACCCACCTGATCTAAACAAGCAGTTTGAAAGAATCATGGATTTGTCGTTACCAATATACCAATTTGGAGTCAAAGATTCAGATGTCACCACCATAGCCAATTGATGTTTCTTGGCTTTGAAAATGCTTTGAACAATATTCAAAGAAACCAAACTCGCACTACAACCCATTCCACACAAATTGTAGGTTTTGATGTCTTCCCTCATCTTGTACTGATTCACGATGCGACTTGACAACGACGGCATGCAAGCCAGCATGGAGATATTGACAACCAAAACGTCAATATCTGAAGGGGAAATCCCAGTTCGCCGGAAAAGTTCTCCGATGGTGTACTCAAAAAGCTCTTCCATCTCAACGATGGTATCTTGATGAGTAGGGTTTTCTTCCCTGCCTTCAAACACCATTCTTGGGGCGTAGGTTTCTTCACCAATGCCAGAGCTCACAATGGCTTTGAGTAGGAACTTGTACTCGTTTAAACCTAGGTTTTTATTCCTCCTGATGATTTCACCACAGAATTCAGTGGAGAGTTTCCGATCATCGGTGGGTTTGTACAACTGGTAATCCAGTAAATAACAGTTCTGATGCCTTTTTCTTTCAAGAACGTTGAGTAGAATATAGACAAGATATAAGAGAGGAAGGAAGGACAAAATGGTTAGAAAAAACACCATTTTCAGAGAGGGAAGAAGGGTGGGAAGGGTGTTTAAGGAGTAAGTTTATGTTGTTTTGGGTGTGAAATCTTAAGAACCAGAGGTTTATTTGTATAAAAAGGGGGTGTGCCCAGCTTGCATGCCCGACTAATGTTCTTTAGAAACATTTCCATCACTCAACTTCCCACCAACTAATAATAACACCTCAGTGACTTTATTCTAGAACAAATCCGTTGACTTTAAGCTATTTCACTCTTAATGTTGAACTTCACCAGCAAAGAATTCAATCTCATGGATTCCTTGGGTTCACTTTTAGGGCAAATCTTAAAGATCTATAGTGATTTTCTGATGAACATATGGGTTGTGTTCACCCACCAAACAAATGATCTCCAAAGAGAAGGCAGGTGGATTTTGTTGCTTGTAATTAATGCCCAAACGGTAAAAGCCATTGGTGACTGCAGATCTAGTACCCAAAGTTCTGTCACTGAAATGATTTGTCATCATTAAGTATGCAAGTTAACTCGCTCTTGATTCTATTGAAAGTTGTGCTAAATGAATCATCTTTACCGAATTAGGGTTAATTCATTGGTGCCATGAAAATTTAAAAAAAAGTAAAGTTGATGCATGTGATTATAAAATCATACAGAAATTTTCTTTAACAAGTAGATGAGGTTCTTTTTTACCTTTCTCCCCTTTTCCTCTCTTTCCTTTCCTTCTCCTTTGTAAAAAAAGTTTTGAAAACACAACATTAAAATCACTATTGTATGAACCCTTTTTAGATTTTGTTTCAATCCTATCCTTACCCATTTTCTCTCACAACTTCAACTACCCTTTTATCCTTACTTTTGCAGTGTCGTCAATCATTTGGCATAATTGTAATTTACTTGATATCGATTAAAGTGATGAGACAAACATAAGTGAGTTAGGAGGTGTGTAATGCATACTCACAAATGGTGAGGTTCCAAGGGGCAGTTCCCCGAGGTTTACGGATTTTAAGAAGGGTTAGACTTAGGTGGCGTTTGGTTCGCTGATGGAATTGGAATGTTGAATTCCATTGACCAAATTCCATTCCTTCGTTTCGTTCATTCTTTTTCACGAAAGGAATCTTCAAAATCCTACAAATTCCACAAATAAATGAAGTTAACATTCCTTAGCAACTACATAGTATTTTGATGAAATGAAATCTCTATCTTCATTATACCAAATATGCCCTTAACCTAAGATACTATAATCTTATAAAACTCAATATGACTATCGTCGACCACCTCTCGACCATTCTTGATCTGAACCACCGTCGACCACCACCGATCTGAACCACCACCACCGACTACCACCGACCTGAACCACCACTGACTACCACCGACCTGAATCACCATCGACTACCACCGATCTGAACCACCGTCGACCACCACCATCGACTACCACCGATCTGAACCACTGCCGATCTGAGCCACCACTGATCTGATTCACCGTCAATCTGAACCACCGTCGATAACCGCTATCTGAACCACCATTGACCACCACTGATCTAAACCACTTTCGACCATCACCTATCTGAACCACCGCTGACCACCTCCATCTGAACCATTGCGGACCACCACCGTCTAAACCACTGTGGACCACCACCGATCTGAATCTGACCCACCACCGTCGATTTAGTAACGTCGTTTGACTTATGATTATATTTGGGTTGTGTATTTTATATTGTTTTACATATTAAATAATTATTTTATTAAAGTGTTTTTTAGTTTTTAAAAAAATAAAATTTTCAAAAAAGGACATTTTGGTTATTTACCAATATTTTATTCAAATTCTAAACTTACATTCTGTGAACCAAACAGACAAATTCCAATTTCTTAACAGATTCTATTCCAATGTCTGCTAACTAAACATGTGGTCAAACCTGACAACATTTCATTCTAATTCCTTCAAAGTCAAATTCCTTTAACAGATTCCATTCTATCCAAAAATATTCTGCGAACCAAACGCGACCTTAGAGAATTCTACTTCCAGGATGATATGGACCAATTTCAGAAGGTTAGAAATCTTCTTGAAATCATTCTCGAAGTTGGTAGAAAACAAACCATGTCTAAAGTCTAGATTTAGAGTCTATGCAACTAGAGTTATAATGTATGTAATTAGACTTAGACTCAGTATAAAGAGAGTTCAGGTACACTTGCAATTATTCTCTAGTCTTATCATTTAATGATTATAACCGTACGTTCTTAACCACCTGTAACAATTGATTTCTTATATAAATTTATGTAAATGAGAATTTGGATATATATATAAGGTCTCGATCTCATAGTCTTTGAGATTGAGAGTTTCTCTTGGATTATCCTAATACGAAATTCGTGATATCCAAGACTATAAGGGACGAATTATTGTATTTGGACAATGAGTTTTTCATGTTCCAATGAAATTATCTAAAGTTCCCAGATCATTAAATCCCTTTATCTAACAACAGCAACGTTGGATCTAATGGACTAGTTGTATATTCATGCGGTATAACAGGATGTAGAACGATTATTTAATTAAATTGTCGTCGGTCTTACACACACATATATAAGAGTTCAAATTAGAAATATAAAAATGTTAGAGATTAACGGAAACAATCTCAACCATTATATAATAATTTCCAATGATTATATATGGACCATTGTACACTTGATTATCATCGCCTGATTATGGTTTGTTGGAATATTTTACGTGTGGTTATATTTCCAACGACCATGAAGAAAATCAATGTTCGTATTCACACACACATACATATAGGGCAGGTTCAAACGAGAAATTAAAATTCTGGGAAAAAGCGTGAAATTTCAATATCATATATGATTACACTCATGATCCACAAACTTAATCATATATGATTAAACACAGATTGTATTGACAATACATAGACACTTAATCATATGTGATTAAACACATCCAAAAGAGTGTAATCATATATGATATTAAAATCTCTCGCCTTCTCGTACAATGTTTAATTTCTCGCATGATTCTTCCCCGCTCTCTCATTTAGGCAAATGAGAGACAACTATAAAAACCAAAAGTGTAATTTACTTATTAATCTATAAGATAGTTTATATATATTACTTACCAAACTATATGATATAAAATGTGTGAAACACTACACCAAAAAATGTGTTTATAATTAAGACGCTACCAATTTTAATTTATTGTAATGAAAGAAAGTCGGTTAAAAATTATTCATGTTTAACAAGTTTTGATTATTTTATATTTAACACGTTTTGAAATACAACGATTATTCTTAAGAAAGTATATTTTGGTGTATATTATGAATTCCATGTAGCTAAAACGAGAAGAATAAAAAATGTATCATTTACAATAAATTTAATTAATATATTGTAGACGTGTAAAAAAAAGGCATCGTCATTAATATTGCCAAAGGAAGTAGATGAGAATTATAAAAGGAATTGATGGGTTACCCAAAAGAAAATAAAAAGAGGTGGGGAAGGACGACTACAATAAATATGCCAAGAAAAGGGAAAAAAGACCCAACAAGCGTACTGAAATGGCACCTCTTTCCCATCCCGTTAAGATTTTTTTATATATACCAAAAGAAAAGTTGTGTGGCATTTGGTACGCAGATTGAATAGAATGTGATTTAATCTAACATAACTTGACATTAGAAATTATATGTTCGGTATTTAGTGTGAGTAAGACCAGAAAGAATTGGGTTGGAGAAATTGTTCTTAAATGCAGTTTAATGATTTTATATGGTGGTTATCGGTGATGGTGAAAGTGAAGGTGGTCGGGGGTGCTGTTGATGATAATGGTGGAAGTGGAGGCAGTGGTGGCCGGTGAGTGACTATGGTTGTGGAGGACATAGTGATGGTTGACGGTGGTAGTGTTGGCGGCTGATAGCGGTGGAGGTGGTGGTTGTGGCAGAGGTAGAGACAAAGGTGGTAGAGGCCGAATGGGTGGAAGTAGAGGTACTGATGGAGTGAGGTAGTGTAGCCACTAGCCATTAGTGGTGGAGGTAATGACGATGATGGATATTGGTGGTACTAATGTTTGACGTTGGTTTTAGTTGTGGTTGTCAAGGACATGGAGATAATGGAAGATGTTGACGACCGAAGGTGATGGATATGAAGGCGATTCCCCCTTGAATGATATGAATTAGAATAATCCGTTCAAAAAATACACCCTAACAATTTTCTTGATGAATTGCAGGATTTCACAAAAGGTGACATTAAAATACATGCAAAAAACCACAAAGATGGTGTCTGATTGGTTTGAGCTTGGCTCAAAAGGTCAAAAAGTACCTGGAGGTCCTAAGTTCAAATCCAAGGAGGAATACAGATTCTTTTGTGGCCACGAAGATTCAAATGTGGTGACTTCGGGCTATCTGCAAAGTAGGTGGTCATCTTAGAATTAATCGACCCACATAACGAGTTAGATATCCAGGTTAATAAAAAAAATATATGCATTTCGCTTATGGTTGCCGGGCTTTGACTTGGGTGATATTTTTGTAGTTATCTATGCTGTAAAAATCGCGATATATCGGCGATATATCGTATATCGGCCGGAAGAAAAATATCGCTTCCTAAATATCGCCCAAAATATCGTTTCCGATAATATCGGCGATATTGTCCGATATTTTCCCAATATGTAGCGATATTTTGTAGTAAATATCGACCGATATCTCGATATTTTATAGGGTACAATTTTTTGGGCTTCTCTTATTTTAGGGGCTTAGATTTATTGGGCTTCTCTTATTTTATGGGCTTAGATTTTTTGGATAAGTTAGGTCTCAAAAAACTGGCCACCATCTCTCCTTCACGCCAACGGTCTGCTTCGCTTCCATTCCCTTTCTTTTCATCTTTGCGACTCGACTTCAGTTCACAATTCATCTTTTCACGAACGAACGAGTAATCGACCGACAGCAACAACAGCAAGTCAGCAATCGACATCAAGTCAGCAACTATGCTGTAAAAATCGCGATCGACAGCAAGTCAGCAACAGCAACAGCTCCAGCCTCGAGGTCCTTGGTGACTCCCTGAGTTTTCTGC